GTTTACTGACCAACGAGCTAGCAGAAAAATATAGCTGGTTAGGAGCAAAACAAAAATTAAAGTTTTGTCATTTAAAACTTGCTGACTTACTAGTTGGTAAGCGTTGTGTATATATATAGGTAATTTATTTACTACTACAATACTTTTTTATTTGGATATTTTTGGAAAGAAGCGCAAAGTGAGCTTTTCATCTTTTATTGAATTTATTTTATGATAAATTATTTGAATAATTTATTATATTACAAATATATATTATTACGAATATGGAAGACGGAGAAAATGTTGTGAGCAATGTTCACTTTGAAGATGATAAAATAAAATCATATATGCAGTAAAATAATTTTTTACATAAACTATTTTTTATTACAGTTTCTGTGTGGTCAGGATAGTAATTCCATATATACTAAAAAGGAATTGGAAGAAGCGATTCAAAAATGGCTGCGTAGAGCCAAGGAAAGGTGTACCACTAAGAAGAATAAATTGGAAGATAAAGAAGAAATTGAAGAACATTAATAAATTTGATAACCTTTTGGACTTTCTTCTCTATTAGAAGAATTTTTATTTTTTATTTTATTAGGAAGATTTTCATGTTATTACTAGAAATTGATTTTAAATTAAAAACCGATGGTTAAATTATCTTCCGAAATCATTTATAGTATTTGGTTAAAGTTTATTATACGGGCATATACTATTATATAATCTATAAATGTGATTACATGTGATATTAATATTTATATTTACGTTGTACAATTATACATTAAAAAATTTAATTTTGAGTCGTTAAAGTTTAACGTTAAAGTTTATCAATATATGTATATGATAATATGTACGTATGTGATATAAACGTTGTAATAATTTTAAGAAATTTAATTTGTGTTCTTAAAATTTATCAATATAATATTCAGTATTTAAAATTGCTCAATAATGTTCATCAGTAATACGTACAGTAATGTTAATTTTTTTATATCTATATTTGCATAAAATAATATAATTTGTATCATTACATTTTTTGTTTAGTTAATATAGGGTGCTTTCCATTTGATAACACAAGTCGACGCAAGTCGTTCTATCTTTATCACTCTGTGAATGTCAAGAAGGATAGAGCGACGCTTGTGTCGACTTGTGTCATCAAATGAAAAGCATCTATCATTGTTTGCAAATATGTATAATAAGATAAAGAAATATATGTTCAGATTTAGACTAATAAATAACAATGTTCGAATAAAGAATTATTTTATTATTTTTAAATAAGTTTACTAGCCTTGAATAAAGTAAAATTATATGTACGTATTATATACACACATAATTTGACGTACACACGCACGCACACAACACATACTCACACATACGCAAATACATATTTACATTATTAAATTTTATATAAATATATGTATTTATCTGTTATTATATGGAAATCCTAATAAATCCAAAATAGTTCAATAATAATTCTCTTTCAAACATATAATGTTATTTTTGAGGTACAACTATTACATATAGGTATTACGTAATACATATACACGTAATATGTGTATATATATATATATATACATATATACAATATATTATGTGCAATATATATAATAGCTCTGTCTAAAAAATGACATTACATGTTTGAGATAAAATTATTACTGGGATTATATATATTTTGAACTTATTAGGACTCCGTATAACAGATCCAAAATAGTCCAAAATGAGTCCTGAAAAGGTTCAAAATAAGTCCAAAAAAGGTCCAAAATAAGCCCTGAAAATGTTTAAAATAAGTCCAGAAGAGGTCCAAAATCAATCCTGAAAATATCCAAAATAAATCCGATAACGGATATTTTATAAACATCCGAAGTTGTGTCAAACGTACATCCTATGGACGTACATCAGATATCCGAAGGATCTTTTCTGGATCAAAAAAGGATGTCCGATGTCCAAAAATGGACGTTCGTTGAACATCCATTGGACGTCCTTGTGCTATCTGGGTATAATGCGAGAATCTAATGTATTTGCTCAATCTTATCAAATGATGGGTGAAGAATTAGAAAATCAACAACGGTTAAAAAGAGAATCTGGAGAATTGTTACCAGAATTACAATTATTATTTACGTTAAAACCCGGTATGAAGGGCGATATAATGTTCAAAGGACTAATGAAGTTGCAGCTGTTTTTCGAACTACTGCTGATGGAGAAATTCCAGAATCTTATGTAACAATACGTAATAAGAATACCAAAACTTTACAAAATGTTTATATACATTAGTACTATGGATCCAAATGTTGAACCATGGATATATCCATTATTTTACTCACATGGTACTCAAGGATGGCATTGTAATTTAACGAAATTAAATAGTAATAAACGAATAACTAGAAGTCAATATATTAAATACCGCATGGCTATTCGTGATGAATTTAATGTTTTTATATTAGGTCGTCG